GGGTCCCACAATCCAGGACAAATAAGAAGGCCATCTCGAAATCCACACACAGCACATGGTGGATTTCACGTTGCATTGATGGCAGCTGTTGGCTTGTGGTGAATTTAGGTAGGTGAGGTCGAAAATGATCACCTCTGTGCCCCAGATGACCCTGCCGATGGTCACTACGCGTCACCTCACGTCATCGGTGCTGACTGATTCACAGAACCACCTTATCAGAATCGCTTCGAACATTTCCATCGTGAAGACGTTGCACCCAAAGTCGACCAACGTCGTCACGATCGATCTACTGCAGTTGAATGTGATCGAATCGAGGCATTCTTTGAATTGGGTAGAAAATTGGTGTAACACACACACACACACACACAACAATTCAAGACCAGTAAAGTGGCCATGATTTGTGAAGTAGCTCGACACCCTTGAATCGAACGAAGTTGGCCTACCACAGACAACCAACACTTGCCACAGGCGTCAATCTCCGAAACAAAGTACTACTTCTGGCGAATGGGGATTGCAGATGAAACTTTTAGCGGTGAAGGATCAAGACCCGTGGGTGTTGATTCAGCACAGGCCACACCGGAACCTCCTGAATGACACCGAAGTATGGACGCACGGGTAAGACTAAACAGTTGATGTGTAACTTCGGCTGCTTTCAAGAAATCCAACGTAATCCCTAACGTTTGACTCAGTTCGGCTGCGAAGAACCACGTCGGACATCAAAATGAATGGAATTCACTTTGTTTTCAAGGAACCAGACGCCAAATTCCTTTGTGTTTTGGTAGCAGTCGATGCAAAATAGTCAGTTTTTACCCCCTCCAAAGTCTCGTGTTACTCTAGGCCAGTGCAAGACCTCACATCAAACGACAGCATCTCGTGAAACCTTATGTGTGTACTGTTCTACCCTTGCGCGTCATTGTAGTCAGAGTCGAAAAATCGACCCCTTAACCCACCTCGATGGCGGCAGCTTCGACGCCGCCGACGGTTTGGGTATCTGTGACGCCGTGGAGCCGCGCTTTCGACCCGGCGTCGATGGACGTCGAAGAAGCCCGCCGGTGCTTATGACGGAGTCAGTCTCGTAGTGTCGCACGTGGCCGTAGGGTGGCTGCGGTGTCGTCGCGGGGTTCTCTTTCTTCACGCGCTGGAACGCCTGCCGAAGGAGGCTCTCACCGGCCAGACCGCCGTCCACGGCGTTCTCCTTGTTGTCGCCCAGGTCGTCGCCTCGGTCTATGTCCCCCTCCATCTGATCGGCGTCTTCCTTGAGGCGAAAAAACCGCAGTTTGTGTCAAAAATACACCGTTTGTCGATCGACCAATGAGGTGGCTTCCAAATGGGGCTAGTTTTGAATCAGTGAAAAGCCTACCTCGTCGTCGTCATCGTCCTCGTCGTCATCTTCGCCTTCATCCGATGACGCATTATCAGGGTTTTGTTCAGCTTAACGAGTAAAAAAAGCATTTTGTTTTTTTCAGTATTTAACTAGCAGAAGGGACAATGATCAGAGAATCGCGTACATGTTTGCATTTGCTTGATAATGTACTCAAATTGACGATTTAGTTCCGGCTGATCCTCCCTCATGAAACACGTCAAGATCCCCTCCAAACCCTGAAAAATTTCAACAAGAAGGCACAGATTTGTAAGCTTAAGACAAACTGTTGCGGTTGGTAGGTAAAGAAGTCGCTCTCTCAGAACCGCCTTGGAATGTCTGTGACTTTGAGGAATGCACTGCCTCGTCATCACCCAACAGCCCAACAACGATCTTTGGATTCCTCTGATGTCCTCGGCTTCTACCACTGATTACGGCGAGGCTACCTCATCAGAGGCTTCGGACGTCATTGTCGCTTTTTTTAGCATCTGGACCGCATTGTGTCCTACCTCTTCCCCCTTATTAACCAGCCTCATTTCTGTGACGAAGGTACTTGCTACAACTACTCCAATTCCACACTCTGCTCTTTCGACAAACGATAGCGACATCAGGTGGGGTTAAAATGAATGCCAGAACGTACGATCGCTTCAGCTGACGCCTGTAATTCGGACTGACTCAGGAGGGAGAAGAGGGCGCCGTTCACGTAGGAGAGGATGCCCGTGTTTTCGTGGCTGATTAGGTCAGTCAGGACTTTCAACACTCTGTTGCCCATTGGAATGCATCGTTTTTTACCTGAAAGGGCAGTTGGAAACTAATTCAACAGGTTGTCAAAACCTAAGCCATGTTATTTACATTTCCACAAATTAGATGGGGCTAGGAAAAAAATGCGTTTACACAATCAGCACAATTGCGAATGCAGAATGCTTCACCTGCCCTAACCCGATCGGTCGACTGAATCCGCCAATCAGGTGCGTCCGTTGCGTTGAGCTGTTATTATCGTCGTTGCCTTGACGACAGATCGTGTACCATCCATTCTAGATGTGGCGTTCTCGACTCTTTTCACTCATTAGTGCTTAATGGCGTTTGAGTAATAAACTGACCATTCATGACGGCATTGAACAGAAACTAAGCACCTTGATCTAACTATGATATCTCGTACTTCGTCAGAGGTGTACCTGCAGTGCGAAGGCACAGATTCATGAAAAGAGCCACAGCATATTCCAGTGTGTAGTCAGACAGATTGTCGGGATTGTCCAGCAGGTCGACGAGCCACTCGATCACTCCCAGGTCCGTCATTTTTGTTTGCATCGAGCGGCTAAAGGAAACAAGGCAACAAAAATCCGTGATATTCAGCCCTGTCCCACAGCAGCCGACGTGATTTTCACTGCAGCCACGTAGGAGTGGATTTTAAGTCAGTGAAATGCAGCAGCCGAGGTGCTTCTATCTTTTGCTCCTTAAAATCCCCAGAATTTGTGGTTAAAACTAGCTCCAATGATGCAACCTCAGATACTAACTCAAAAACCACAATACAGACGTTCGTCAGTCATCAAATTTTAGCTGATTTTTAGGGTATTCGCGGAGCAAGGCGTCATGACCTGGGCAATTAACACCATGATTTTGTGTGTTTAAATGCACTGTGGACACATTCGAGTTGCCTCTGCATGTAAGCATGTGGCTCCTCAGCTGCGCGCGCTAGATTGGAGTGTGGACGAGTGTTGCCACGCGTAACTTGGCAACCGTAAACAATTAAAGTGGGAGAAAGAATGTCGTGATTTTAAGTACCTTACAAGTGGTAGAGGCTTTTTTGCCCATGCGAAAATTGTTGAGCGGTTGTATGCAAATTTAACCAATCATGGCTTGTATGTCGCCAAGGTCGATTGTTTAAAAAACTAGCAAACCTTTTTTTCTGAGCTGCGCCTTAAGAAGTGATTTAAAAACTTGTTGAAAAGTTGTCCCTGAAGCTGTCTGTGGAAGTACAAGATCGAAACTGGAAAACTTTGATTAGTACCTGAAACCGTGGGCAGATGCTCTATTTGCATTGATTACTTTCATTCCCAGACATTTAAGGCCACAAAAATTACCGTAAACTGAGCTTCTGCAAGGCGCCAATAAGGTTCTCTCTTGTGGCCGATTCCTGGGTCGAATCTGTGCGGAAAATTGCCTTGGTTAGTAGGCTCACGGCTGCAGGATTTTGAGCTAAGTAGGCTCGACCACGGGAAAGGGACGCAAATGCGTTGCTAAGACGAGCGGTGGCCTCGGTGACCTTGAGCGAGACATTGGAGAGACACTGCTCAAGGACGGTGACGTGGTGCTGGCGTGTGTCTTCGGACCAGAGCGTCAGGTCAAGAAGATCGTGTTTAATGAACTCGGTCAACTGCTGTTCTCGCAAATCGACAGTGGTTTTCGTGAGGCGCTTGAAGAGAAGAGGTTGGAAATCAGACATTTACAAATATTTTAAAGCGTAATCCGTTGACATAGCGTTTGCGGTAGTGTATTTCAACTCGCTTACCCATCTTAGTGCCTGCAAAAGGCGCCATATCTGAGTCACGTTAGATCCCTTTAAAGTGTCATTTATCTTGTCAAAGTCTAGTTCACATGTCGCCAATTTGTCCGCATACCTAAAAAAACAAAAATGTCGAAGTCACAAACTGCAAAATCTCTTCAAGTAAGTAGGTAACAAACTCTATTCTAAGTTTGAAATCAGCTGCCACTTCTATTACCCCAATTGCTTTTTGAATCAACGGGGATTTTAACTTGCAATATGTCAGATTATTTAAGTTAAAGCAGTGTCTGAGACAGACCCACAATTAGGTTACCGGTTAATTTCTCCAGTAGGTTGATGACAACGAAGGGACTGACGCAGGGTATTTCCGTAGCTGAAGTTACTACTGTTCTTCGCACGCAAAAGCGTTTCAGAAAAGGTTAAATTTTCCTCAAGACTGTCCACTGGCCAGACGCTACTGCCGCGCTGGGAGGCAATTAGGCGCGAGCAGATTTCCTGTAAAACGTTCGGCTCAATGTGGTCACCACGCAGGGAAGCCTCTAAGGTGTCAACAAGGTCAGTAGTTATGCCTAAGAGGCCTTGATAGTCGTTTTGAATCTTTGTGAAACGTTGTTGCGACTGAGATACACGTCTTTCAGCGTCGGCAAGACGGTTCTACAAAATTTCAAGTCATAAAATAGAAATTCAAATGTTGACAATGAATTTGAAAAAAGTGCAGTAGATGGACGGGTTTAAACGGCATCCCACAATGATCTTTGAGTAGAAAGTGATTGCTCCCATATGAACCTTTGTAAACACAGATAATTAAGCAACACAATGCTCTACTTAGTGTGTGATTATGAAATCTTTTATTTGTCAATTACCTAGAAAGAAAGCGTCACTTGTTTTTTCTCTATATGCTCCACTGTTAAAGATGGCGTTAATTAAGCACGCAAAAAAGATTGATTGTGGCTATTAGAAAGTAAATTATCTTACTTGCAGCTGTTTGACAAGATTATTAGGAGACTCGGCAGTCCGAGTAGGCAAAAGCAAAAGTTTTGGCAAAGGCTGTGTTTCATCCTCAAATGTATCGAGGAATGCAGCTAGTTTGCGCTTTAGATTAAATGACCAATCCGGCTCAAACAATTCACGGTAGGCTGGGTGCAGTTTTGGATTTTCCACATAGGGAAAGGCATAAAATGGAAGAAATTCCTCTATCTGGCTCAGTACTTTTCCTTTTGTCTCCAAAAAACCACGGAACCCTTGGAGGCGCTCCTTCCGCATGGACTAAAAAGAAAATTAAAAATAACTGACTAACCTCAGAATCTTCATCCCAGTTTGCGGCAATAAAATATAGTTGAAGATAAAATTCCAGTGGACGAACCTCTTTGTTTACAGCATTATCGTCATCGAAACGGCTACTCCAAGTTGCACTAAATGTCTTGCTATCATGGTGTTCAAAGGAATCTAGCAGTTGAACCTAAAAAATTACTCTTGTTCTTATCCTTACCCTCCAGTCAACGTTAGGACTAAACTTTTCATGTTTGACTGTATCCCATTCCTCTGTTAAGCAGGATTTCGTTTTGTTCATGTTAAAATAGTCAAAGAACTAAACATTTTGATTTAATGGATCTAATACTTCTTCTATTAATTGACGCATGTTGTCAAAGTCCTGTTCTCTAATTCGATGTACCATTTTGTGAATTAATTATGCTTTATAGACTTCCAAGCCGTTAGCCAACGCTAAACAAGAATTTGTAAAAGCGCCCGTAGCAACCATGACCTACGGAAGTAGCCAATCAAATGGTAATTTATGCTTTAACAATAGAAATCATATCATTTGCAATTGCTGTTGCAATTATTTGTGACGTGTTAATAACTGGTTTAGCCATTAAGGGTTAAGGTAATGTTTAGTATTAGTTACGATAATCTTAAGAAAAACCCGAAATCGAATCGACGCGCTCCTCAAAATAAGTTTCACGATGGTAAGCGAGCTTGTGTGAGCATTGTAGGATGACTCCTAAGTTTGAGGAATATCATGGAATATTATTGACATTGTTGCTTCACATTAAATTATTCGACCTAAGTTTAAGTAAATATTTCATGACTTTGCGTCCGATTCTGTCAAATAAAATACCTACATGTAACCGAAAATATTAAACCGATTGCAATTGCATATTCAACTACGTCCAGGAACTGTTTATCATTGACCTTATAATTGGCTTGATACTGTAGCCTCACAGAGTTGAAATACTCGTTTTGCACGTAATTAGAGTTTAATATAAGTCCAAAAATGATTGCTATTTGCAAAGATTTAAACTGCTCGAGTTCATCAAGCAAATTTCTGAGTTTTTAATACCATCTATATTTAATTTAATGATTCCAGAAGCATTTTTATTTTTAGCTTCAATTGATGTTTTTGGCTAAGTTTTTCTATTTAAAATGCATGTTTTAAGTAATAGGTTTGATGCGGACTCAAAAAAGTGTGTTTTAATACTGTTAAGCAACTGACTCCATATGTATTCATTGCCCTCGGTGACCAAAGAGCATTTTGACATTAGCAGGATATTTATATATTCTAGGTGTGTTTGCATAGGAAAAAATAATGCTTCTGCAAAGTCCGTCATGCTTAAAGTCTTTGAAATTTCAATTTTTTTATTATTTCTGTAATCCGTTTTAAAATTCCGAAATCATATGTAAGAGCAGCGTTTAAGTACTTTTTTGCAAAAATTGATTAGATTATAAAGTTTAAAAAAGGTATAAGGTTCTTAGATAATTTTTATGGCTTCCCGACAAGACTGTGCTTCATATTAACGCAATAATTCTTCTCCTCCGTACATTTTCTAGTAATATGCTACTAAATTTAAAATTTAAAAATTTTTAATTAACGACTAATTTTGGTCGTACTTTGATACTTTTTTCTGGCGTTTTGTGTTTAAATATATCTAATCTAGTATTACTCCTCCGCTGCGCGCAGTAAAGATTTCGAACAGTGTTAATCTGTCTGTTATCATTGGTCATATCTGCGTTTGTACTGCCATAGTCCTCTTTGCGATCGACTTTACACGTAAGTTTTTTTCTAACGGCAACTTTTTCCCTAATTTGCTCAAGCCTTTTTGTAATTTAAGCTTTCTATTATCTGTCCACGTATGTAAATTTTTAACGCTCATGTCTTTCCTCTCAGGCTTACAAAGAATCATCTCATTCCTTTTATCTGGCCATATATTGTAAACATCAATTTGCAGGAAATGGCAGATCATTCATCTTGGTTAAACACCTCTACGCCAGTGGCCCACAACGTACCCCTCAAGTCCCACGAAAAAGTCGAGAACGTGTGCTTTTCAGAAAACATATCCGCTGTTACTCCACGACCCAAAAGGGAACCTCAAACAGCTTTACCGATTGCACAGCGCACACGTGCTCTCTTCAACATTATAACTCGACCGCCTCTTTTGCATACACCAAGTCTGGGCATTAATCTTCCATTTGAATCGTCTACGGGTGTTAAAACGTCAGATTTTGACAAGATTTCCAAAGAGCTCAAAGAACTCGCCTGCTCTGACCCGTGCTTCGTTTCCATTGATGGTCTGTTGGACGGAGTGCTAATCGTCAGGAATGCGATTGAGCAACTTTACGACGATTGTGTGGCTCTCCAAGAAAATAAACCCAGTGATAGAATGGTATCAACCATCAATGTTCTGGATTTTTTCCTCAATCGAGGTAGTTTGACTTGGATGTTAACTGGAATAATTTAATTTGACTACTTACCAAGTCGTTTGGCGTTTTTCTCTTTGCGGTCCCAAATTTACTTAACGGACTTTTCGTTTGTCTCTAGTTGACCCTATTCTTCGAAAACTAATAGACCTGCGGGTATCCCTAAATGATTTCACGTTGGGTGAGGTAATCGGTCGTGGGGCCTGCGGTGTTGTCCGCGTGGTGCACGAAAAAAATCCTCCGAATTCAGTTTTTGCAATGAAGTCGCAGTACAAAGGCTCCTGGCTCTACCATGATCCGGTAATTCCTTCCATATTTTCTTACCGCCAGTAGATCATCGAGATAATCAACAGCTTTTTTATTCCCTTTTTCTTGATTGCGCTAGTTTTGTGTCCTGTGGGCATCATGGTCCTCGTTTTCATTGGCCATTCTACTCTGTTATTAGGAAGGCGCACAGCTTCTCTTGGAACGCACCGTTCTTGCTCAGGCCGCGATGACAGATAATCCCTGGCTCCCGCATCTCCACTATGCCTTTCAAGACGAAACCCAGTTACATTTGGTCATGGATTATGAACCGGGTGGTGATATGTACATTTTCCTCAGCAAGTAGGCCTCTAACTTCCTCTTCCGCTAGTCTTTTTGTTGTTGTCAGAGCATCTGAGTCCTCCTCTCTTTCCTTCTAGGGCTGCTCATCTTCTTGACTCAGAAATGATCCAATTCTATGCCGCTGAAATCGTTGAGGCTACTCACTCGCTCCACCAAATGGGCTACATTCATTGGTGTGTTTTTGGAGCTTAATTTGACAATAAAGTGTGCCTACGTTGGCTAACATTGTTGTATTTGCTTCATAGTGATATCAAACCCGAAAACTTCGCGATTGAAAGGAGCGGTCATCTCAAATTGATTGATTTTGGCTCTGCAATTCGTCTCAATTCAGACGGAACGGTTGGTACTTCTTGATAACCAACCCACTGAAGGGTGCCCCCAGTCTCACTGTCGTGTCTTCTCTGTTTAAGTGTGTCTGCCCCACTATGGTGGGAACAAAGGAGTACCTCAACATAGAACTTCTGACCCAGCGCAAACGCGGCTCCAAGAACCCCCTCTACGTAGGACCTGGCTATGATTATTGGGCCATCGGAGTGTTCATCTACGAGATGTACTACGCACAAACACCCTTCTACGACGAGGACGACGATAGGATGATGGAGAATATCATCAACTTCAGGGACACCCTCAACTTCCCCACCAACGTCAATATTCCCCCCTGCGCAAGAGACCTCATCCGAAGGCTGGTTTGCGAACCGAGCGAGCGGCTGACTTACGAAGGCATCGTCCGACACCCCTTCTTCCAGGATATTGATTTTGCCACCATAAGAGAGCGTAAGTCCTTCCCCTCGTGACTGCTTTGTCATGTTCACATGTGCCTCGGTCACAAACCGCTGTTGGAAATGGACGCAGTGCTTGTAGCATCGGTAAATAGCTCACCTCCTTCCTAGACACTCCCCCCTACTTGCCGCCCGTTGGTGAGTTGGATGATGTTGCCAACTTCTCCGGGGGCGGAGCACGCTCCCGCGACGAGCTGTTGCACGACATCTCCAGCGACAAGACGATTTCGCCGTCGCGTGGCCTGCCCCCGTCGACACCCTGTCCGGGCATTCGAGGCAACCAGCAGCAGCGCCTCTCCAGCCTCGAGAACGTGGAACCTCGACCAACTGCACCACCTCCAGCGGTTGAGCCCTCTAAAAAGGCAATGCAACGCCAGGCCATCCTCGAAGCCGCCGCTATGCCCATCACGGAGGATGTTCAGGAGGTGGTGGACATCGAGTGGAAGGGACCCGTGTTCGCCATCGACTTGCCCTTCGTTGGATTCACCTTCACGCCCGCCATGCTCATTGGAGAATCGCGCTCCAGGCAAACCCAGTTTCGGGCTATCAGCAGACACCACAATATGTAACTTGAAATATAACCCCTTGCGTTCAAATTTTGGCCAACTTCATGTAATTGTCGCTCCAATATTTGTGGCATACGTAGGCCCTAATAACCTCCCTTTTGCTATGCAGTTGTTTTAGGGTGCGCGTCCCATACGCTCTGAAATAGCTTAGTGGATGAAGGGAGCGATTTTTCATGATTTTTTTTATAATCCCAGTGCTGACTCCTCGGTGACAATGCAAAGTCGTCTGAGTATGCTCGACACCTCGTGCCTTGGGGAGGAAGCTACCGCCAGAATTATGGAAGTTAGACGTCGGAATCGCTTCCTGGAAAAGCAGATCACTCTGCAGGAGGAGGAAATCCAAGTATGTCTTTCTCGGTTAACACTCCACTGCGTGCTTGTACGCCGCCTTGATGTGTTTCGCTGGCTGTTGTAGAAACTGCGTCAGCGCCTCCAAGCCTCCATCTACAGCGCTGACATCCTCTCTGACCTCGACAGTGCCGTGACGTCTAACGTCAAACATCAGGCCGATGAAAAGTAGGTTTCTCTTTAACTAAATGGCGTGAAGAAGGTTTTGATTGTTGAACCAACCGTGGAAAAGTTGAAATCGGATGTAGTAGTTCCCGTCTTTGAAATATCGGTGTACCTTTGGCTCTTAGTGGTCAATTTAAATCGGATTTTTTTCCTTTTTTTAGGCAAGAGTTAGTCAGATTAGAGGCCCGAGTAAACTCGCTTACCCTGGAGAAATCCAAGTTGGCTGAAGAGCTCACCGAAACGCGAAAATGCCTGTTGGATTTCAACAACCTAAAGGATCTTCTGGTTCGTGTACTCCGCGCACACCAACCCCGTAGTCTGTTGATGCGATGTGCTAACTGCTTGGCGTTGTTTGTAGAACTCGGTGGACCGAAAAGCCGTTGATGAGGCCCAGTCGTTGAAAGTGAAACTGGACACTGCAGAGGAGAACAACCGCGTTCAGGCCGAAGAGGTGGGTTTGCGCGGTTCTACGGATTGCGATTAGGCTCCTCTCGACCTCCACGCTAACCTCGCTTTCGATTGTTTTGTTCTAGCTCACTCAGGTGCGTCAGCAGTTGGAGCGTCTGCGTAACAATAACACCAAGTTGGTGGCGGAGCGTGACGCGGCACTCGAGAGAGCCGCCAAAGCCGAGGACACGGCGGCGTCACAGGCGGACGAGGCGGAGGCCGCGCGCTTCGCCTCCCACTGCGAGATTGTGCGTCTCACCACAACCACGGAGCAGCAGGGCAAGCTCATCAACCACCTCCTCGCCCTCCTGCCCGCGGAGCACCGTCAAGCCGTCCGCCAAGGCATTCTCGCGCCGGTCAGCAGCAACACCAGCGAGCCGCCGGCGTCGTCCGCCTCGCTTGTGAGCAGCGGCGGTTGTGAGCGCGTTCGGGGCGCGCCTTTCGTCCGCTCGCAGAGTCGGTGGCTGGGCGGCAGCGGCGGCACAACCAAATCCTCCGCCGGCCACTCCGCTCTCTTCCTCAAGACTAGAAGCCTCCTTCGGGGCAAACGAGCCGTGGCAGCCAGCCAGAAGTCCTCTGCAGTGCTTGGCGAGGCCCTAGATCAGAAGTGGGGGTAGGTTCCCCCCCCCCCTCATTTTTGGTCCAGCAAAACCGACTGCTAATTGTGGTGTCTTTCCTTATTTTTCCAGTGCGGCATTCAAATCGGCAATAGGCTTTGGCGGTAGTCAAGGAGCAGCAGCGTGCCCATCAAGCTCACAAAAGCAGACTCGTCGTCGTCGTGGTGGTGGAATGCCCTCGTGGGTGCGTACCCTGTCCACTCTCCGCTCCAAGAAGCACCTGACTGCCCAGTCCGGTGGTTTTCGGCTGCACGAGCGCAGTTTCAGTGAAGGCGACGTCGACGGAGGAGTTTACGTTGGCGACGATGCCTCCCTGGAGTACCCGCCTCTTGAAGTGGACTGTGTAGTCTCGGACGTTGACTACTTCCGTGGCTCGAATTCCACCACCTCCTCGCCACGTTCCAGCATCGCCCCCAGTCTCACTAGTCTGCCGGAGTCGTCTCGAAAAGTGATGTGGGCTGGCGACTTGGTGCCCCGTGGGGAGAAACCTAAGATAATTTCTTCGGTAAGCAATTCTCTCGGCATTTTTTTGGTACAGCGCTCTTAAGAGTGTCGTTGGATTGATTTTGTGGTTTTTTTGCCGTTTTAGAGTGATACACACAAGTACAAGAGCGTAAGTATTCCCCCCTTCCCGGCAATCGATTAAGGGTTTATTTGCTTAACGTAAACCTGTAAATCACTCAATTCTCTCCTGATCTAAAATCGATTTCGTACCTTTGCAGCCCCATCCGAAGCTGCTGAAACAGCTGAGTCGAGTCCTGGGCAGAGGCAAACCCCGGAACGACGATGGCAATCCCGCCGAGTGAGAGGCTGTCGGTGTTGCTTGAAGCCGCTGGGCCGCCAGAACTACCCGTCCGCTCTCCCCTCACCCACCGCATTACTTTTCTCCCCCCACCCACCCAACAGACTTGTTTGCATTGCAAGACGGTACTTTTCTCGTGTCCCTCACATCGCTGTATAAAATTTTCCGTTGTGTGGATCGCTGTCTTCTTTGTAATTTGTAATTTAAAGTTGTTATGGAACTCATCCGACTTCCTTGAACGTGTGTACCTGGAGGCCTGATGGTTGGGTCGTGAAGTTTTCGTGGTCAAGGCTCCCATTTTCCGATTTGGAGCGTTTATCTTGTGGTTAGAAATTGTGAAGACGAAATCCCTTCCAGAGGTCGCGTGGCAGGTGCCCTCCGTGTGTTCCTTAAAGAGAGTCTGTGCTGATTTTCAAATTCTGCAGTAGTGATTGGTTAACGGGTTGACCAAGACCCCCTGTAACCTCGGCTAGTTCTAGTCTCACTTCAGCTACTCTGCTAAACATCCTAATGGAAAAATGATAACTTAGGATTGTTTGCTAAGGTGGTCTTGAGGTGTTTTCGAAGGAAAGTTGTTGATGCGGATTGGCCCCTGGTGGTCATTCGAATCCAAACCCGCCCGCCAATGACAGCCCAGTTCACCAGTTAGGAGATTGGTGCCTAACCAATCATAAATGTATCTCACCATGGGGTCTTAAGTAGAATAAATTTTCAGCCAATGGGAGCATGATTCCCCACCTAATCGTCAGGTGCCCTAACAGCTCTTCTGCCCATCAAGATGTTGCATCGAGGGGGCTAGTCTAATTGGTTTAGTGGAAATCAATGTGGTGCACAAAGAACTGCCTCATCACAGGCTGTAGAAAGCCACTCAAATCCAGTGAAACAGAATATCCGAAGTCATTAACTCCATTGTCTAAATTGAAGCTGGTTTTTTGCCTCAAAGAAGGCAGCCGTTGACGACTTTCGAGGGCTTCAGGGCGTTGAACATGCGTTCTACTGTGTGCCAGCCCTGCGAATACGTCTGAACCAAGCGCGTTAAAAAGGTTAATCTGTATTCTAAAACATGGCACATCGGTTACCGGCGCTAATCCAAGCCGACGTTATGGAAGTATCGATTGTTGGAGGCCGGTCGAAGGGCCAAAGCGTACATTTGGAAGGGCCAGATAAAATCGGATTTAGTGTTACACGTGACGAATAAGGTTTTGTGCGAGGACACGGAACACTTGGTGACAGACTGGAACAACGAGTTATTGCGGATCAGTGAGGTAATCCGGTAACGGCATTAGCACGCAGACATCCGATGCGCCACGTCGTCGACAGGTTAATCCTTACACACCCCCAAACTGACTAGAAATTAGAAGTAAAGCGATGCAGGTTTTGGCAGCGCATTTGACGTGTTAATGTTATGCGAATTGTAACAAGGAAAAAATGCTTCAATGAGTAGCACGGGAGCCAGCTTGTCGTGTTATTGGCGCCGACGCTGTGTCTTGTAACTAGGGTTACAAAAGTTTTAAAAGCGGTGGTTTCGATCTTAGTGATTGGCTGCGCACCGGGCAGGCTCAAAGCTCTGAGGATGCGGAGTTGTAAGCTCCACTGGATGAAGACTCAACGCAAACGCAACAAGAGTTTACAACTGACTCCGGAGTTACCCAAACAGCTATTTTCAATCGATGGCACTACCAAGTGGGACAAATTGAAAAACTTGGAGGCTGGGTCCCCCACATGTGTTGACCGAACACAACCTTCCACAGCTTGCGACGGGTTTTTAGCAAGACAATTGTGATGAAAGCAACTTTTGTTGTAGACACTCTCGACCAAGACACCTGGTTTACCTCCGAATCCGATTGGCTCAACGATTTATCCTCAATGTAATTTAAACAAACTCCAGTATGATGACGAAGTAGGGCCCCTTGAAACACTATTCCTTGCGGGTTTTTTTGGCAAGAGTACACGGTCTCACTTATCGCCTGCCAATGGGTTGTTCTTGATTAAAACTTGGCGCACGTTAATGATAAAATAGTCCATGTTATCACCTTGGTAACAGATCTGTCTAACACACAATGAAGTTTGTATCGCGGTGAAATCAGAAAATGTACAGTTCAATATAGGGTGGGTCTAAAAATCTGGGAATTGTGTCGTAACGGGTGTGGAGGGGCAATGCGACGCAAAATATAGAAATCCAAATTCGATTGGCTCAAAGCACCGGGGGCAGACTTCGAGTCTAAATGGAGGCTGATTCGATCGATGCCCCTGCCTCGGAAATAAGTTGATCAGATTGGGTGAAGTTTTGTTGCGATTGCGTCCAGGTTGTGGCACAAAACCCAACTACCAACTGCAGCGCATTCAATGTGTAAATTTTATGCGAATTGTTTTGTCTTCTCGCTAAATGATGCTTCTTAGATCTCGTAGAGTTAGAGCCGTTTCAACTTATCACCTACTACCCCCTAAAGAGAGGCTGTGCTGATTTTCAAATTCTACAGCAGTGATTGGTTAGCGGTTAGCCCAAGACCCCCTGCAACCTCGGATAGCTCTGGACGTTCGTTGTCCCACTTCAGCTACTTTGCACAACATTCCAATTGAGAGATTGATAAATAACTCAGGATTGCTTGTTAAGGTGGTCTGGCGGTGTTTTTGAACAAAATCTGTTGATGTTGACGTTGTGTTTTATGATACATGTAACTACCTTTACAAATGTTTTAGAAGTGATGATTTCGATCTTAGTGTGGGCCGCGTAAGATCAAAAGACTGAAGATGCGGAATTGCAAGCTCAACGATTTATCCTCAAGGTAGTTTAAACAAACTCCACGATGATGGCGAACTAGGACCCCTTGCGACTACTTCTTGCTGGGTTTTTCGGCAAGTGTACGCGGCCTCGCTTGCCTAAATTAAAATTTGGCCCACGTCAGTGTTAAAAATGTCCACTTTATCACCTTGGTGACCGAGTTGATCGCGTCAAATGGGCCCAACATGCTGCGGAGTTTATATCGTGGAGAAATCAAGGAGTTTACAGCTCACTTAAGGGTGGTTCTAAAATTATGGTGTTTTGAAGTCGAAACGGAAGGGGGGTTGTAATGTGAAGCAAAATAATAAATACAAATTCGGTTGACTCAAAGCACCGATGCAGACTCCAAGTTATAACTGCGCCTCAATCGATCGTTTCCTCTGCTTCCGAAGTGAGTTGTTCTGATTGGACAAGGTTTTGAATCGATTGAGTCCAAACATGCTCACAAACAAGCGGATGTGGAGGCGGATTGCGCTCGGATCGATGAAATCAGGCCAGGCGATGGGCCAGGCTCTGTCGACGCGTTGGTAAGACTGAGGGCGACGGGACGGAGGTGCCGAAAGCGCAGCTGGAAGGTCTGGGTAGGGGTTAGCGGAAGTGAGGTGGGTTTTTGGGAAAATACGCGCCACTTTGTGGACTTAACGCCTCGGAGAGAGAGTTAACATCCGACCTTGCGCAGGGGGCTGCCAAACGTCTCTCCTTTTCTAGGGCACGCGATGTGGGAATGCATTAATTGCCATGTTCATTTAAAAACATCTCTAAAATATTTGTTATCAAAAATATTTGCACAATTAACAACAAATGAAAAATTTTATCAAATTTTATGCTGTTTTGTAAACTTATGTACACTAATACTATTGATTTTTTTTAAATTTAGTTTTTTATATTGTTTTTGGTCATTTACTTAAAAATGCTTTTAAGTAATATATCTGTTTTTCGTCGTTTGCGCTTATACTTGACTGCAGTAGTTTTTAATGCCGCTTTTCCCGCTACTTTAAGTCACACAGGCAAGCATCAGTGCATGGAAGCCTGCTGTATTTTTCAGAAGACTGGATATCCATATGATCTGGTGGTGTCAAGGTCATTTCAGTGGTATCTAATGCTAAGCTGAATGTTATAGTTAGCCCTTAGTTTTGTAATTGTTTCGTTTATTTTCTGTAAGCGTGGTTTCGCACAGGACGATCGACATATCATTCGCTAAAGATTACTTGTGCGGAAATCTTCTTACAATTGATTACTACAACATTGCCCTAAATGTCTCAAAGATGCAAGTGCTATTCTGTTTCCTTAATTAGCCCACTTTGTGTTGTTTCTTAATTTTCAGTCGTTTGATTATTGCTCCCTACATCGAAATAAAATGACACTAGTTTAATTATCTCTCTTAGCACTTTAGATTGTCAATTTTTTATTGAAATCACTGTTAGTAGGACACTCATTATGTACTAGTCCGTAACGCCGCTCAAATTCACGCCGGCAACAGGCCAAGCACCAACGCCAAATATCTTTTCTCAGTTAAACTTTTTAGCTGTTGGGTGTTAAATTGTCAAGTGCATCATTTGCACCTGGCGTCGCAGTTTCGCCTTCTCTCGACTTTATGCTTATAAGATCTCGTAGATTTAAAGCCATTTCAACTATTCCCTAGTCTTCACACCGCTGGGGTTCTGTTACCATCGGGCTTTTGATTTTGCTATCGACAGCCCATGAAACTCAACTCTGCTCTATTCACTGATCCTGTTTGCTGACCTATTATCACGAAGTTCTCACTTCCTGTGCAATCGTCATGAGTTGATTTAACTTTGAATTGATGGGCCTTAGAGAAAAATTAAATCTATGGATGCATTAACTTAAATTTTTTATACCTATTAAATGACCGTACCGCAATAAAAAAATGACATTTAAATCACTTTGATTTTGGTCACTAGCAGGACTCTGGTGCCTTTCTTAACAGATGTCAAAACTACTTTTTTAACTATGTCGACCAACCTTAATTCATGTAAAATTTATCCATGTTCCAATGTCCAAAAGCAGTTGCTAATTAATTTAAATTTGACATGTTAGTCAGATTGTTTGAGGCTTCAAAATTTTTTTTCTGGTTTTAATTGGTGCTTTGTAAACCTTTATTTTGTGATTTAAACCTTGCTAACCGCATTGCTTAAAGGAAACATGTAAAAAAGGAAACAATGTAATTAATAAATATGGTTTATTTGAGACAGTGTGAATATGCTGGCATACTCTGCACTAATGCTACATTTTTGACTAACTAATCGTACTTTTATTTAAGCGACTTTTCAAAGGTTAACGAATCCGCGTAATTTAAACAGTTGTGTGTGTGTGTGTCAATGAAGGCGAGAATGCGATTTTCGTCGTCGTCTAGGCAGATGACTTTAGACTTTGGTCAAAAAGATAGTACAGTACATTGCAGTATCTGCTCCATGCTGTATACACCGAGTGACGCTGAGGATCTGAAGACCCACGCTCGTTTCCATGCAAATTTTTTGAACCAAGAAATTAAGGTATTTTACTACTACGAATAATTTGTGTTTTGTGGTGTAATGTTTATGTGGGGTAATAGTTTTGAAGTCTTACAGCACACGATGTCTTTATCTACTGTTGAGTCTGGACGTTTGAAATTTCTGCTGTCCTTAGTCTACTCTTTGTAAGGCGTTTGTAAGAATTGTTTTGTCGCTGCTTTGGTTTGTTGGAAGTGGTCGGATTGATTAGCGGTTAGGTTACTGGAGTTTTCGTTTCACTTGGATACTCAAACAAGTAGCAGACTATGGGGACATTTTCAGTGATTTTTTGTAAAAATATTTGGATTGCAACCACTGTGAGGCTGCCACGTGGGGTTTTTATCTTATCCGTCTGCAAGTCATGTTACTTTTCGAATAACAGCATCTTTTATTATGTCAGATTATTTTTGTTTTCACGTATCCCCACCCTGATTTAGGTTCCTCGCTGGCAGAACCAGCAGGTGCTGGAAGATTTCCTTGATGGATCTCGTATTATCGAACTTTCCCTGACTGATCATAGGGGATTCAAATTGTACACCAAAGTTGCCGCACTCATGAATCGAGATCTGGGCCATGATCTACCCGAAGGTCGTAATGCTGCCGCCGAAACCTGGCCACCATACCTCCGCGTTTTCGTTTTCGTCGAGGGTAAGAAAAAGCTGGCAGTTGGGTGCTGTTTTGCCGAAGAGTTGACGCGCGCCTCTGTGACCGAGCGTGGATATTCACTGCGCCGTCTGCAGGGCGGCAGACAGTCGCTCGTCTCGTGGCGCATTCAGCACGACTCCGAGCAGCCCGCAGTCCCGCCACCTCCTTCAGAAAAACGTGATAGCATTTTATTCCCTCTTTGTGGCATCCGACGGCTATGGGTGGCAGCGAAGCACCGTAGACAGGGTGTGGGGACGACACTCATCGATTGCGTTCTCAAGCACTTTATCTACCTCACGCAGCTTCCTCGCTCACAAGTCGCCTTCGCCGAACCCACTGCCAACGGCGCCGATTTTGCCGCTAGTTTTACCGGCCGTGAAGATTTTATTATTTATTGATTAACCCCCACAACTCCCATATTTTTATCGAAATCCAGTTTTTATACACCACTAACTCTGTGATCTGGTAGTGTCGTTAAGTAAACAGTGATTGCGGGTGCATTAGTGGTGCGGCTAAGGCTCCTTGTTCGTTCATACTATCAATGGCTTGGCCCCTTTTTGCACAAATCCCAATGCATTTTAATTGGGCGCGAAAATTGAGAGTTAAGTAGGGCCGTGGGACTAGAACCAAGCCTCATTGACTTGGTTGACCCATCTATGACGGAATGTTCTTCCTGAAATGACGCAAAAAGTAGGCGCTGTCGGTCTGATGACCATTACGTTAGCATTTTTGGGAGTGGGGTGGCCTGCTGACACCCAGCCCGCCCATGTTTTGAACGGAAAGCCAAGACAACAGAAGCAACGCGCTGCTGTTATGCACAAGTGTTTAATAAGTGAAAAAACGCATCTCCCCAATAAAGTAATAGTTGATTTCACTGGGAAATTTCCTGGTCACTCGAAAGACGGACATTGGAAATGTGTACTGATGGTGGGGTGACAGTGGGTAGGGCGCGACGAAACAGCATACAAAATGACGGACGCGGGAAGGGCTCTCCCGTTTGAACAAAGGTAAGTGGCAATTAGGTATGTACAAGCGGGCACAGATGAACACCAGCCGAGCGGTTGGGTTAGGACTCGCGTTGCTTGGCTTTCAAGTAGGACATCGCGACGGCAACCTTTTGCTCCTAAAACACCAAGGGCAGAATGAGACGTCGTTAACAGAGCGCTACAAGTGACTGGCGTGCCAGCCGCTAGTGCCCAAGTCAACGAGATTTTGAAGCAATCGACACCCTCCAACTGTCAGCTCCGTTCAACCACCTCGAGGCGTGTTGAATCCCCTCGCTAGGTCTAAATGTCAATGCCATCTGCAACGTCCTAGATCCACGAAATCACACAGACGAATGGAATTATTCCCCGGCTCAGCCATCAAACTAATCAGCTCACCTTGACTGCGCTTTTGATGGCGTCAAGGTCCGAGCGGATGTCGTCCTCGTCGACTTCGTAGACCAGACGCGGAAAGGACGGTGAGAGGGTGACGGGCTTCCGCCGTGGTTCGAGGTCCTGGCTGGGGAGGTAGCCGACGTCTTCGTCGATGTCCTCGTCTAGGCCAGGCACAATGAGAGCTGCCGACGCCTGCGAGAGCCGACCCAGACCGGCGTTCTGTTGTCGCAGTGGTTCGTCTCGCGTTTGGCCTACATGGATAAAGTCACGGGTTATTTAAACACCAGAGTATTATACACCTTCAAGGCTCGACACTACGATCTGAACGTGAAGTAACGCGAACAAAAGACTGTGGCAATCACGCTGGAAAGAAATTGAGCTTTGGAAAGGGAAAGGAGGAAAAGAGGGTGCCTAGTCGTGGACATCCAAAAGTTCAGAGAAATTACCTTTTGGGGGTCTAGAAATTGTCAACGCGGTGTGCCCACATTACAAGTGGTTCCTACGTTGGTGGCGGGTAAAATTTGCATCTCCAGAAGGCAACACCAAATTTTGGCCGACGCAGGATGACTCTGAGCAAACAAATTAAAAGGGTTCGGTATTGGGTGTCCTGTCCAATACACTGCAAAACACCACTCCTAGATAGGCACTAATGCCTTTTATTTAACCAATGTTCAGTGTTTTTTCTTAAAATGAATAAGAAAACGATTTAACAAGAAACATCGTGACAAGCAACAGCGGAACCCGCTCCAAAAGCGCAAATATTCCTGATGAAGATAGTGTTGAGGGTAAGGGGGGAGGCGTAGAACTCACCATGGAACATGCCACGTTTGGCCAGAACACGCTCCACTTGGAGGGAACAAATATTTTCCTGGATGCGTAGTCTTAGGCGTTCTTCGGTGGCGCGTAAGTTCTCCTCAGCGTCGTAGGTCGCCATCTGCAGGGCATTGTCAAATTCCTTGTTGGCCACTTCCAGTTCAAAATCACGACGGTGCTTGGCAACCTAACAGAACAAACAGAACGTATCACTGACTAAAAAGTTGGTGAAAAGTTCAAACAAGAAACACAGAGCAGTCTTAAATCCATTTTCGGACCATTTCGGAATGAATAGTGTGCGGTAAATCGCATTAAACCAACAACGATACCACACAAGAGCTTTCTTAGTAAAAACGCTTCAGCCTGAAAGGCTAATTTTGTCTGTAAACTAGCACGGATTTGTAAATCCGTGTTAAAAGAAAGCTGTATTAATATTTATGAGCCGAGCGAAAAAGATTTTGATTTCTAATCATAGCCGATAAGCTCGCGTGGCCTTAGGATAAACTAAAGCAGCGCAGAAGAATGGAATTAACCTGTTTTCGAATGCGGTAGGTCTCGTCGACAAGAGCAAAGACTTTGATTAACTCCGGTGCCTCTGATGACTTGAGCTGCTGCAATTTTTTGTCAACCTGAGCAATCCGTTCGGCATAGAGGGCTTCTTTGATCTGCCTAAACTCCCATTCAAGATCGGATATCTCGTTTGACAGCTCGCGTTTTAGGGAGTCCAGATCCGTCTCCGTGATCTCCTCAGCTTCTGCGTCGCTTTTGACTTCGCCCTCCTCCACTGCCGGAGGGGAACTCTCGTCGTCAACACATTTGTTGGAAATACTCATTACGCTAAAAAAAAATAATGACCAAAAACATGCGATTTGGAGCTGGTATACTGACAGTCCTACGAGCCACCTTGCAATCTAACTGCAAATGACCATTGCATTCTCGAATAGGTTGCCTCAATCAGCATTTATCGTGGTGATAAAGTGACGCATCTGCTTCTGAAAGATTGACGATCAGACCAGTTACCAGGTCTTACACCTAGCACGAGTCTACATTATCGATTTGCAGTGTTAAAGCAACACAAGCCTAAAAATCGGGTTTGTCGTGAGATTTGTAAAACGACGAACACCACTTGTGCTGTTTAGGCATACAAGGAAAAGTCCACAATGAAGCATAACAATTAACATCAGACACAAGGACTATAGCAGAAAAGACATCGAACGATTTTAACCTAACTGCTACTTTTGAAGGAGACAAAGCAATTTATGCATTAACTAATATAAAGAACATTTTCGATGGATCAGCCACACTGAAAACAACAAAATCACAAAACTCGGGAATTTTTATGGCTCACTTTCAAAACGGAGGTGCCATTCTCGCTGACCAAATATGCAGCGCAAGTTTTGGCTGTTAAATGTATACACTGAACATGAAAACCAGAAAACGTGCACTTAAAGACACTGTGGGGAACACACAAATATAAGGTTTGGTAGCTAAGCAGAAACCATCCAATAAAATAGCGCATATTTAGTACGACTAATAGATGTGAAACTCACCAGGCCTAATGGGCACCGAAATTCGAAAGTGATATTCTTAAAAACGCACTGCCTTTAAGCTCATACAAAGTACTAAGGTTTGTTCTGCATTTTAATACATTGGATTTACCATTTAGTGAATTCAAATCAAATTGACCGACCTCATCATTTATTTTGTATGTGATTTCACAATGTCGTGTAGGTATTATACACTGTGACATTTTACAAAAAAAACAAAATGAAAAGTTCTTAGGATCCAAGCCGGCAGCTGCTGAATCCTTCTTCCAAATAAACCACAAATTTTACCCTTATAAATCTGATAATCTGTTAGATTATTTTAGTCTGATATATTTTTGACCCCTTGATTTCCAAGTCACATTATCGTCATCATGCATCTTGACAGTCGACAACAAATACTGTCGGTACACGAGAGTTACTTAGCTCTAAAACTCACTTCCCTGCGTTCTTTGTTGTTCTACCTGCTATTAAACCGATCAGAGAAGACTGGTTAGGAAATCACAAATTTCTTGAATTTTTAGCCGCCATTTTTCATTTTTAGCCTTTGTGAGCACTTGATTGTCACTGAACTTTTTTTTTTACTATACTATAGTGTTATGTACGCACTTTGCACCTTGTATATGAGTCTTTGTTTCAAAAAAAATTGTGTCTTCTTATATTTCTCATAGGCTCCTTGTGCGTCCATATTTCCGCACAAATTGCTACACTGATTAGACAGCAAATATCATTTTAGGTGTTCTTACTCCAATTTACGAGCTACGGGGTCGGATTTTTCACTTGCATTTAATAGAAAAAATTATTTTCTTGATCTTGACATGAATTTCTGATGTTTAAAGCAAGCAACTATCTATCTCAGCTTTTGTCTACGGGTGTATGTTGTCGTCTACTGTATGTAGTAACTGTTGAACTGACCCAAATTTTTATGGGCTAATTTTCACGATTTTTAAACGCTGGCAATAAAATTTCCTCTAAATCTTCTAACCTAATGGCTAATAACATCACTTTGTTCCGTACTTGACCTTGTCAAGCCACTTCAGTGGTAATAAGTTATCATAATTTTTGATAACTTGTATCCATGCTTTCAGTATTGCATGCCATATTCTTCACTGTGTACTTTTCGAAATATCATCGACAATGATTTCGGGCGTATAAAATGTTGTAGTCATACCTGTTGGAGTTCATGAATTTTCGGTGTCATCTAAACATAAGTTACGATAGGAATGATGTTAAAGGCCTTCAGGGATCCACTCAGAGGAAATCGGACATTAAAGTTCGTATTTGTATCAGAACATGCAGGTCCCGTTCCCCTCTTGACTGCTTCTTCAATCGGAATGCTAGTGTTCGGCGCCTTGTTATCGGATTCTAGACGTTTTCCTTCTAATTCAAGCGCCGGTATTATTACTTTGGAGCCCCATGTCTAGTATGAAATGTGCATGGCCTGTTCTCTCTCTGTAAACTAATAATCTTGCATGTTCTGATCATCATTGTTTTTTGCAGAAACATTATGAATAAGCCTGATGCCTGCCCCCCGGAACTGTCAATGGAGGATTTGGCAACGTTCCGTCGTTGCCGCAAGGAGTCTTTCTGGCGTGGTAGCGTCCCCATGATTATCGGCGCCAGCTTTGCAGTCGGGTTCGCCCAATCGCGTGGATTCTTTGCCAATCGTCCTCGCCTCCTCATTCCCTCCTACATTCTGGCCGGCCTCTTTGGATACATCGGTGGCAAAGTGAGTTACATAGGCAAGTGTAAACGCATGTTCCTCGAGCTGAACGACAGTCGCGTGAAGGACTTCCTGCTGGGCAATCAGCCACGCATGCCGTTTCCTCAGCCGCCAAACTTCTCCAGCGCCTCTGGTTGGTCGCGCCAAGGCGACGACGGTCCGATTTTAGTGGACACTCCAACAACTCCTCAGAGGGGATCCGGCAAGCCAGAGTGTCCGTTGACCTACGCTGATAGGCGGAAGTATTATGGCCAAAAGCATCTGCAGCCACAACAGCCCTCACCACCACCATCTTCACAGCAAGACGACTCTATGGCGCCCCCTCAACTCCCAAGCCAGTCGCCGTCAAACCCATCCTCGTCGGAGTACTTCAACACGGAGCGTCCACTGAGCTCTTTCATGTCGGACGACGAGTACAGACCAAGAGACTAAAACTATGGTGCTTGCATTGTCCACCTGGCCACTTTCCTTCTACCTTGCCTACTCAAACAACTTTACTAGATAGTCCACACTTGTAGAAACATTTTTCTGTCAAAATCGTGTTGACGGAGGCCGTTTTCGTGCTACCATTTTCAACTCCGTTCCTATTTACACGAATGTTTGAAGTGGCATTTAAAATCCCTCGGATGTTGAGGTTTTTATTCTGAAAAAAAACATGCAGTTTTTCCCATTTGGATTTCACTTCGTTAGGATTTTAGTCAGAAAAAAAAACATTTAATTAGATGCCACGGAATTAATAAATATTCTGACGTCATTATTTCATCTTTAGAGTCATGTTAGACTTTATTGACAAGAATTAGACAAGAAATTTCTGATGTGACTTAATGAGTGCGCGAAACGCGTCGGGAAGTCAATATTGCGTCCAACTGACTCCTTATTTAAGTAGTAATTCAAGTTTGGATGCAAATATCGCAATTTGCTGCAATCGGTTTTTATTCAGTCCAGCAATAACCGCTTTTTGGGGAATTGATTTGTGTCAGCACCTCACCATGATTGGCTATGCCAGTTAACCAATAGTGGCTCAGTCTTATTGCTCATTGGCTAAGACACATAATCGATAATTTCAATTTGTAATCGGAGAATGCTTCAGGTGTGAATGGCTGTTGGGTTATGTGTAAACACGAAGCCTTACTGATACTGCACTGCCAACTAGTCTATCTGAAACAAAAACAAATTTAGACGCGTCGTTCTTGGAGCGTCCAACCTCAAGACGAATGTGTGAGCCCGCATGCTGCACAGAAATGCCGGATTCAACCTTAATTTGCGTGTCTCTCAGTCGATTTTCAAGTCTTGTACTTGGTGGTGCGTGGTCTCCCCACTACCACGGCAATCGTTTCGTTTTTACTTAGAAAATCCACTCTTTTTCACAATTTTCAACACCGCCTCCACCGATTATGCTGTGACAGGTTAGAACTGGTCAATTACCCCTTACGGCAACTACTTTACCGCTTTTTCAATTACACTACCTTTCAGAAGTGTCAAATTACGCAGATTTTAACGCTCCACAGATGACAGCCAATCATCGGCGTTTTCAAGTGTGTGGAGTTAATTTACCGCCTAAATGTGCATTTTCCGTATGCGCAAACGCCCGAGCCGCGTTCAAATCAGGGTCAGTCAATAATTGTGACCGTATTTCAGGAAATCCCATCTACTGAATAATTCAAATAGGTATGTAAATTTGTTGCAAATTTGTAAATTTTGTCAGTTAAGCTTATACAACTGGATGGAATAAACACACTTCAGGACTGCGACAAAATTGTTCATTTCCTGTCCACATAGCAACTGGGGCCGTATCGAATTCAGGACTTGTCTAAATTGCATGAGCTCTAACCCAATTGGGTGAAAGCAGCCTCATGAACCACCACCTTAGCAACTAACCAGGCAGCGCGACCCGCATTGCTGAGGCATGTAGGTGGTGTTCTGCTCTCTTATGATTGGCGCTTGCATTCGAAATATATGATGGTTCTTGAACACGCTACCTTCACCAGCCTACAGGATGTCGGTAATTCTTCAATCAATTTGTGGAAAAACGGTGATATCGATGGGGCAATTTCGACCAAGAACACATCGCGTTCGCGAAAACGTGAATCCAGCCATGTGACACGTAATTTGTGGAAACAACTGGACCGGACATGACTCCATCAATCAATTGTCCGCATATTTAGGTTATGTAATATCTGGTAAACTTTGATTTTCCACAGTTTAGCAGATAGCTTTTCATAAGAGGGTCGACTGCAAAATCACGGCTCAGCAATTCAACCCTATTATCGATTTCTTAATTAACCGCGTTGATTCAAAATGTTCAAATCAGGTTCCAAGGACGCGGAGCCATCTCCGTTGGTTTTTTTCTATAGACGGACCCTTAAGACGTGGTCCAAATATTGCTGTTAAGTTGAACCTGCACCAGAAATTTATCCGTGCTGACGAGGGATAATTTTGATGTATGCATGGAGCACCGAATTCCGTGTC